CCTGCGAGCCGGGAGCATTTGGAGGTGATGGGACCGGGAGCCGCGGCCGCTGCTGCGCCTGGTTCTTCTGTGAGCTCCGCCCGCGCTGGTGCTGGCGCTGGCGCTGGGGGTGAGTCGGCCGCCGGCCCGGAGCCCAGCGCCGCTCCCGCTCGCCGGCCGTCGCCCTCCGACGCGGGCTTTTGCTGGAAGTACAAAGTTTGGGCTCCAGCGTGGAAACTTCTCCGACCCAACTCTCCGGGCGTAGCAATGGGGGAGGGGACCGGCGAGACCGGAGGAAGGAACGGGGGGGGAGGAAGGGGGAGACCTGCCTGAATATTGCAATAAAAATGAATCGAGAAGAAAGAAGCGGACTCACCTTTATGAGGCATCCTCTCCCGTCAAAGCTCCTGTCAAGAGTTTTGTTTGCTTGGGTTTGGTTTTTTTTTGTGTGGCTGTTATTGCTGCTTAAAGACCACAACGGTTGGAAATGACGGTGTTTTAAAGGAGTTGCTGGCGAGAGTTTTCTCCACGGAGGCTGCTGGTTTGGTGTGTAAGAGCAATTCTCAGATCCCTGGGAAGAAGACAGAGATTGACAATAAAATGGGCTGTCAGCGGCTGGAGAGTGAGAGATAAAGAGTGTGGGTGAGGGAAGTGGCTGCAGCCAGCACACCTATGCTGATTGGTGATGGCTCAAGTGTGTTAATGTGTGTGTGCCGGCGCCCGGCCTCGCCTCCACCGCTCCTCACTGGCCCATTAGCGAAGCCTGACCTCTGTCATCATCCTCCAGCAAAACACTTCCTCCTGCGCCTGAACCAGAGCGGGAAATGAGGCCGAGCCACGGTTCGCTTTTCAAACCCACTAATCACTCCGCAACATGCAAATGCACCGCTCGCTCCCACACAAAATATTGCTTTATGCAAAGCAGCGCCGGGGCCTCGCGCCAGCCGATTGGATGCTCCCTCTCCCCGCCTGGTGCAATTGGTCCGTTTGTTTGAATATGAATACACTTGTTTTCGGCTCCGCCGGTGGGTCGCGGCTCCTCTCCCCGGCGCTGGGCCCCCCGCGTCCGGGCTCGGGAGCTGGTGCTGGCCGACATCGCAGGGCTCCGAGCGGCCTGGGAGCTAGCGCGGCCCGCCCTGCGGCTGCTAACTTGAGGGGTCGAGTGCAGGCCGCTGGGACGGGGGGTCGCGCCCCCGACCTCCCTAAACTGGGCTCGGAACTCCCAACTCGTGGGGAGCAAGTTCCCGCAGCTCCACGCAGCCCTTTCTGGCCATCTTCAGCGCAGCTTGGCCGGCCGCCCCGCCCCCGCTCCCGCCCTACCCGGTCCTCGCCTGGGCACTGTGACACCGAGCACCGCCGCGGCCGCACCCCAGCCCACCTGGCCGCTGGGAAGAAGAGGAAGAGGGTGTGAGCAGCACTGGGTTTCGGCAGCAACCCTCCAGGGATGGCCGAGGCGAAACCTCGGCGGAGAGGAGGCCGCCAGGCTGGCAACTCGGCGAGGTCGGGCCGCCTTCCCAGTCCAGGCCTCCCGAGCCTGCCCATCACCCCACCCTCGCTCCCCAGGCCCTTTCTTCTGTTCTTTCTCCTTTCGGAAGCCGCCGAGCGCAGCGGAGCGGAGTCACAGCCGGGCTGGAGAGGCCCGAGCAAACACGCCACTTACTTTGTGTACAGAGGCTTCTTGTGAAAAGCCCTGAAGAGTCCTCACCAAACACTCACCAACTTCTCCCACGTGCCATTTGTTGACTAAGTGCGGTTGCTTTTCCGGGCGCCCGAGAGGAGGGGATCCCAGGGGGGGGGGGATAGGAGGGGAGGAGGATGTTTGGGGTCTGAGGTGGAGGGAGATGACCAATGCTGGGAGAGACTGCGTGTGCGTGTGTGTGTCCTCGCCAGCGATGTCGGCGTGTCGGTGTGCGTTATCTGAGTGTGGTGCAGGTGTGTCGGCACCACGGTTCCTTCTCTTGGGTCTGCTTAGCCCACGGAGGCGGCTCCCCTTCAACTGTTGCCAGAAAACCCGGGGAGGACAGTAAGTCAATGGCTTTTCTCTTCTGACCACACACCAGAAGTCCATTTGTTGAATGCTGGACCATTAGGACACACCTCAGTGCACTCCAAAGGCACCCCTTGGCGCCGCAGTTAAGGTGACAGGGGAGAGAGCGGCTGCCCAGTCTTGCGAAGTCTGGAGCTCTCTTGGAGCTTGCAGGCCCTAGCACAGGGAACCGGCCGTTTAGGGGTGGGGAGCACACCCCAGGACCCGGCACAGACCGGCGTTGGAAGAGCAGAGGCAGGGAGGCCAAAACGAAGCCACCACCGGGGACACTTGACTCCTCTTGACTTATGAAAAGTGTTGAAAGTCAGAGCTCATTCATGCAATCTGTACACTCGGAACTCGCTGATGGTATGGTAGCCGCCCCTGGGAGCTGGGGCGTGAGGACGCTGCAGGCCGCCTTGGCTTAGTGTGGGCCTCCCATTCTCGTACCCAGCCCGAACCCAGTAACCCCGCTACTGAGGAGCTTGGGCAGAGCTCGGGGAGAGCGGAGGCCTCCTCAGCTGCAGCCAGGGTTGGGGCATCACAACCCATCCACTTCCCCGGCCTGGGAACTGTTCTTCCCGTGGCCCAGGTGCACTCAGCGCCAGGACAAACCCCAGGCCAGAAGCAGGTGGCACGGGCGCTCGGGTCTGCGGTCTCCTGAGCGAGGTTTCGTAGGACCCAGACTTCTCCTGATCCCGGGATCCCGGGACAGCGGGCCCAGGTCTCAGACCAACCAGAGTCGGCGTTATTTTTCTCCCCCTTTTTACTTCTCAAACAAGCATTAAAGAAACTTGAATTCAAGTCCACTGGGCATAAGCAAGCGGGGAGGAGGAGTCCCAGAGGCTGTCGAACTGGAGGCGAATATCATTTTTACAACCTCTCAATTAGGGACCGAGTGGATTAGCACCTTCTTAAGCTTTGCCTCGGAAAGAAGGGCCCATAATCTTGTTGCTATTTCCCCCCTGGGCACTGTCTCTTTGAATCGCTCCTACTCCCACCCTTCAACCCCCACCTCACCTCCGAGAAAAGTTTTAACAACAACAACAAAAATGATAAGAGGCTAGGAGCGGGGCGTGAATGCCACTGACGTCATTGGGTGGGGGTGGGGGCCAGGGGGAGGACTCTCGGAAACCCCTCTGCACAAGCAAGAAACAAAAAGGGACTTAGCTGCTTCCAGTGTGTCAATATTTGGGGGCAGCGAGGGGAGGGAGAGTCGGACCCAAGGGAGACAGAGTTTTCAAAGTTTGAGGGGTGGAGAGCGAGATTTCATGTTCTCCCTGGGCTAGTTTCAAAGGGGGTGGGGGTGCTGTTCTGCCTCGTGGGGCACCTCTCGCTCTCCGCCAAGTGCACGTTCTGCGGGCGACGCGGCTGGTTGGGGGGCTGGGCGGAGAAGCAGCCCTCCAGGGGCAGAGGTGAGAGCAAAACTGAGACAGCTCGCATGTCGCCATTTTAATTGCGGCTTCCTAGGCCCCCTTGCTGCGACAGCTCCCCGGCCGGTTCCCGCAGGGGCCGCCGGGGTCATCCCACCCGGTAGGGGAGGGCTGTTTGTGCCGAACGCGCCGCTCACCGGGGAGTGCCCGGAGCCTCTGGCATGTATCCGTTCGTCAATGTGAGATCCGCGGCAACTCACCCCCCAGCGCTCCCAGGCATTCACGGCTGCCCACTCCCCGGGTTTCCGGTCCGGAGGAGGCCTCTGGCTAAGCAAAGACGCGTCCAGATCCTGGGAGATGTGCTTTGGGCGCTGGGCTGGGGAGCCAGGAGTCTCCCACCCGGCGTGGGTGTTGCAGCACCTCTGAACTGCCGCTTTCCACCCCCTAGCAGAGGCGCGGTGCTGGCGCGCTGGGAAGGGCGAAGACGAGCTTTTCTTTGAAGGAGGGAAGTCTCCGTAAACACCTGCACCACTTTGCAGAGACTCCAAAGGCCCTCTCTTTGCTGGCAAAACGGGTCAAATGAGCACAAAAGGCAAAGGCCGACCAGTTCCAGGTGCCTCCTTCACTCCAGGCCTTTCTCCCTCTCTTTTTTTCCACCAATATGTGGGTTTCCAGTTCACCCCTCAGCCTCCAGAGCCCAGAGTGCGGGAGGCAGAGAAGAGCCTGAAGCTGGCAGTGCCTCCGGCCTGTGGCCAGGCTTGGCTGGGGAAAGCCTGGGTGCCTTGGCCTGCCCTCGCCTCTGACCCAATGGCAAGTGGGTTCGGTCCTCTTCCATTCACATTAGGCGGAAAACAGAAAGCGTCTCTCTTTCTCTACATTTCCACCAAATGCTTTAAACACACACACGCACACACACGCTCGCACTGGCCAACTGGGTTTCCCAGCAGACACCCAAGCCTTGGCTTCCCGGATCCTGCACGCCGCTGTCCAGATGGGGCCCACTTTAAAACTCCAGATCTCCAATGTGTAGGACATCTGCAAATAGGGTTCTCAGGAAAGTTAGCTTTCCATTTGGTCACCCAGGAAGGTTCCCCATCTCTCCTTTCCCTGTAACTCCCGCCCTCAAGAGGCAAGAGTTCAGCTTTAAAAGAAAAGCAAGCTAAAGCCTCCTCGGCCCCTTCTCCCTAGAGATCCCATCTCCAAACAGAGTCCGAAGTTTTTCCTGGAGAGGCGCAAAGAACACGCGAGCTGGGAACTGGAGAATTTGCTGGGGGATCTGAAGCTGGGGAAGAGGGAGGGAGGAAATGTCAGGGCTGGTTCGCTGGAGCAGCCCGGAACAGAGCGAAGCGCATCCTGGCAGCTCTTAAAGTGACATTGATTGGGACAAGCTGTTCCCCACCCCCCGGAAGAGTTAATATGTTTGTTAATCAAGACACCAAGGGCCCAAGTTTTATTAGCGAGTGGAGGACATTGGCGGCAGTGAGGATCAAAAGCTGGGATCCCGGATATTTGTCAGCACGGTCACACACACACGTATTTTCAATTAGAAAACAATTGGGCCATCACTTCCTAACCAGTCTCACAGGTGGTGACTTACAAACCTGGCTAGCAGGGAAAACCGATGGGGAGGATGGGGGGTGGGGGCGCAGCCAGGAGAGAGATTCCGGTGAGGAGCTGCAGACCGGTTCGCTCAGCTCGACCTGAGTTTAAGAATCAGCAGCCTGGGGCTCTGAAGCCTCAGATTCCCACCCCCCTGCCCCCAGGAGAGAGAATTAAAAAAACAACAAATAATACAGAGAGTATCGGCATCCATCCCTCCCGGCCAGCTCCCCACTGCTCTGGCCCGGCTCTGGCGCCCGGTGGAGTGGAGTCCCCTGCGCGCAGCAGCCAGAAGGGCCGGAAAGTTTGTGCGGCCAGAGGGACTCTCTTTCCGCTGCGCCCGCGCTGCCCCCTTCCGCCCGGGAGGGGCGTTCGGTTCCCTTCGGTTTTCCTTTCAAATTCTAAAATAAATAAATACACGCCATGCCCTGGAGAATTCTGAACAGTAGCTCTTTCAATAATCCAAATTATAGGAAGAGGGTACATCTGCCCTCCGATCCAGAAGGCGCTGGAGTGAGAAGGCGACCCAGGAGGTCCCGGCTTGCCTGGGCGCTGGGGGAGGACTCTGGTCGGAGGTAATTATGTCACTGCGCTTTCTCGCCGTGACAGCCGAATAAACACAATCTCCAATAAACATCTCTAATGAGGGAGGAGGCCCGAGGATGGCTGGCTTTGATTTATGGCTAGAGGAGAAGGTCCACTTCCCACAGCGAAGTGGGCAACCTGCTCGCTCCTCAGTCCAGAGAAAGCAACTCGAGGAGGAGAGGACCCGGATTCAGGTAAGGTGCTCGGCCCAGTGACCACTGCTCCTGGGCGAGGTGGGCAGGGGACGGCCACTGCTCCCAAGCACCTGTCGCAGGTGCCTGAGATACAAACGTCCTGCAAAGATGACCCCCCCACCCCCCAGGTCTAGAGAGGGGCCGCCAGAAGCAACAGTGGGAGTGCGGGGCGAGCCTGGGCCTGACCGGGACGCCTATCCCACCTCCTGGCGGGTGCCCTGTGCCCTGCCTAAGCCTGCCCTGGCGTCTCCGGACGCCTACGGCTGGCCTCCCGGAACTTTCGCCCCGGGGAACCATGGGTTAGTATAGGTTTGGGGGTCTTTCCTTCCTTGACCCACTTTGGAGAAACTTCTGGCACCCGCATAGGCCGTCCGCGGACGGGAGAGTCCGGGCGCTGCTCTTCCCGGCACTGAGCGCCTGGGCTCCCCGCCGAGGCCGCGCAGCCCGCGGTAACCCGAGCCCGCGTTCTCGCTCAGTGCGAATCGCTAATTATTAGGTCTCCGAAGTGAAGCTCAAATCACGCCGGGGGCCTTGCGCGCTGCCCCGCTCTGCCGGCAGCATTCTTTAGTCCTCATCTCCTTCCTGAGGAACGAACTCCCATCGCTAGGACTTTGTTTCGGTCCGACCATCTACACTTTGCAGCCGCGGGGAAACTTGTGCGGCACGCGCTTCGGGAGCGGGCGGGGACTGCTCCACGAGTGAATGGGGGTGAACTGCGATTGGGGGGGGGGGGTTGTGAGTGCAAACTGCGTCTCCCCTCCTGCATTTCGCACGGTGGCCAGCGGCTTCTGCGGACAGCAGCAGCAGATCCCCGCTCCCCTCCCCGCCCCTCACCCCCGCTCAGCACCCCGCTGGAAGTCCACTCTGGGGACTGGAACATTTTGCTACTTTTGCAGAAAAAGGCGCTCGGCGAAGACAAGGCACCCCCCGCCTCCCCTATCCGATTCCGCCCTCTGGAACTCCCCTCCATCTTTGTCTTCCTCCTTTTAAAGGCAAAAGTCAAGCCCCCGGCCTGTTCCCACACTTCTCACCGCCGCTCGGCAGGGGAAGTGGCAGATCTGACAGCCGCGATCTACGCGAGGACCTGCCCCAGAGTTTAAATGTCAAATATAAGAAAAGAGGGTGCTCTGGCAGGCGCTAACTTTCCTTAATATCCTTGCCAGCGCGGTCCTCATTGGCTGGCAGGCCCGCGTGACGTCATGGCGGCCAGAGTTGGGCTCAGCTCCGCGCCCACCGGCGCTCTGGCTGGGCGGGAGCCTCCTGCTCTCTACGCCCAGTCCGGCTGCGTCCGAGCCCCGCCGTGGCCTTCCTGGGCCGGCCCGCGGCTGCCCAGGCCCAACCCGGCCCCCGACTAGCCCTCCCTTAGGGCGTGGAGTCAACCCCAAAGAAACTAGTTCTCTTGAATGAGCTCCGCCTCCCCTCCTGCAAGGAGAGTCGTCCCCCCCGCACCCCCCTCCAGGCTGGCCAGCTACCTTTCCGGGTGACCACCAGGTCCCCTCCTCCGATCCCCGAGGGAGTCACTTCATCAGAGGGACCTGAGGTAGCACGGGGTTGAGAAGGTCCTCTGGCAGGAATCGTTTTTCAGGAGGAGCTGAAGGAGCAGTGGCTACCTAACCACGCCCTGGGGCCTACAAGTCACCAGCTGGGCACAGACGGTCTCCGGGAGAGGATGAGCGAGCCCTTCACCCGGGCAAGGCCAGAGTCCTCGCCAGGCCGCTGGGTTCTCCTATGGAGAACCACCAAAGGTACCTGTTCGGGCTTCCCTGGCCTGCTTGAGCTGAAAGGCTCCAGTCATGTAGAAAATGTCGTGATTTTATTAATCTTTGACTTTGGGGTTGACTGTTGACTTTGTGGCCTAGAGGAGGAAAATAGGAAAGCCCCAGATTCTGAAGTCAGGATTCCCCTCCTGGGAGCTGAGGTAACCACAGAAACTGGGGTGGGGGTGGTGGGATAATGACCTGGTGGTGTGTACTTGCTTTGCTGTCACAACCAGTGTGGACTGGGAGATGGCTTAGTTGAGCTGGGACTGGCTAACTTGGGATGGGGGCTTAAACCCAGGTTGTCATTCCTGGTCTCACTCCCCAACCCCCAACAGAGGAGGGGGTTTCTCAATGTCCAATCCCTTCATTCTCTGCCTCCAACCGGGTCTCGAATATGGAAGTGAGAGAGATCGGGCTGGGATGGGTAGTGGACACTTGACGAGGGGTTGGAATGGGAAGTGGGAGTAGGGAGCATGGACTTGTCTTAGGCAGCTCGTGGGAGGCCTAGACCTGCGGCACCATGTGTGAAGGCTAGGAGAGGAACGCCCAGGCGGGAGGAGGGCCCCAGGGCCAGTACCTGCTCACCTGGCTTGAATGGGGTGGCAGAGCGAGACCAAATCCAAGGAGAAATCCATCGGTTCCAGCTCCCGCCCCTGGCACACTTGGACAGTTGTGGGGTTTCCAAACCCTCCAGGAGAGGGCTCCTCTCCTTGTTTTCTTTCCTCCACCCTTCTCGGGCTTGAGGGCAGGGTAGAGGTGGGAAGGAGAATGGGAGCCCCTTGGTGGTCTCAGCGTGATGTTCTTACTTATTAACAGCTGATACCTGCAACTCTCCCCACCCAATCCCCTGGTCTTCCAGTGTCAGGGGCAAGGAGCATCCATCCCTACACACACACACACACACACACACACACACACACACACACAGGCCACTCTCATCTAAGTCAGAACATTGCTGTGATCCTGGCTCCCCACGTGGGCTCCACTGGGGAGTGACGCTCAGAGAGGCGCTTGCTCGCTTTCTCCACCCTCACCGACCTCCTTCCCTGACCTAGTTTCTTGGCAAGTGTCCTAGCTGCCCTCCAGGACCTGGTCCAGCTCTGAGCTCCAGATGTCCTGAGGTCTCCCCGGCTCCGCGGTCTGCCTTGGAGATCGGGCTGCGTGTAGGCCCCAGGCCTGACCAGCCTCCCTTGCTCCCTAGTCTGTGTCCACGCCTGGCCCCCCACCCGCCCCCTCTGTCCGGAAGGGAGGCCGCCAGGAAGGCTGCTCCGGGCTTGTTTGGAGTCCAGGCCGTTAAGCGTGCGCGGATCCCTGCAACCTCGCAGGGTGCTCGAGAGGGACGCTGGAAACGCCACGGCCCCGGTCTTCTTATCTGCCTGTCAATAAAGGACGCGCTGGAGCCGCGCTGGAGCGCCGGGCGGTGGAGGCGAGGCAGGGCTAGGCCCTTCCGCGCTCCGGGCCAACGCTCGAGCCGCTCTCCATTCGTCCTGGGCACAGAAGGCTGGGCGGGAGGAGGCTTGCGCCAGGGTCGCCACCGGGGAGGATGCAAGTCTCACCGCAGCAGAAGCTCTTGACCCCCGGGTGGCCCTTGACCCGGGAGCCGGCCCAGCCCCTCGTAGTGCCCAGCCTACAAGGCCCGGCCTGGGCACAGGCAGACTGTCTAGGGGCCGCACTGCCCAGCAACGTGGGAGGGCAACGAGGGTGGCTCAAGGGCGTCATCGAGGACTTATAACTCGGGATGCGAGTGCAACCTGTAGGTGGGGGGCAAAAGGCCAGAAACAGAAATTCTCTGGCACCCAGGGCAGGTCGAAGCTCTGAGACTTCAAAGCAGCAGTGAGTGAGCTCCGCAGCCACCGGGGCCTCCCGGGTCAACCCGGGCCTAGAACTGCCAGGAAGCCCAGAGTTTACCCCCTAACATGCCAGGGAGAGGAGGGGAGTGGGAAAGGGGGTGAGGGGCCAGAGATAGGTGGTAGAGGTGGAGGAAGGAATGGAGAGTGGTTGCCAGGAGAGAGGGGCAGGGGAAGATAGATTCATCTTTGACTTGAACTGTAACTAAGATCTGTTGTTCTTGTTCAACATATTCTCTCTCTCCCCCACCATCACTACTTTATGCAAATAAAGCTGCTTCCAGAATCAAAGCCCCTCCTGCAGGATCTGTGATTTAGGTGGGTGGGAATTGATTTAATATTTGCCTTTTCACTGACAATGCCCATTGCCAAGTGAAAAGTAAAAATCGAAAAGTAAAAAAAAAAAAAGTTTTTTGGCACTTCAGTATTTTAATTTCATTTTACTAAATCTGGATGATAACGCATCCTGTTAACTTCTATATTTAAAATTATTGTTCCTGGAGGGGTGCTAATTTATAAAGGGATTTAAAATAACTTTTTCATATAAAAACTAATAAGAGAGTGAAAACTCCCTGACTATTTGAGAAAAAAAATACTGTGCATATTGTGTGTCATTTCAAATGGAGGAATGTTTTGTGAATCCAAGCACCAAAAATGGAAAATATTTCAGGAAGGAAATATTTGCCTTCTCTTTACCGAGGTCTAAAAGATTGCAGAATGGCATGATGATATGCAATGCTGTGGTTTCTCTGCTATTCGATTATTTTCCTACTCATTCAAAGAAATAACTTAGGTTTTTCTCTCTTCTGTCCATTCTACCCCACTATAAAGTTTTCTGGGACAGTTTGCTTTCCCACTAAGAAAATCTGAATTACAATCAATCTGAGAAAACTGCCTTTCCTTCTAAACATTTTCACATTAAGTCACTTCGTCTGTGGCACCATGTTTGATTTCTTTCTCTCCCATGTTTGGGTAGAGGCTGAGACATTAGCTGAATTCCCTGGGGGTGATTGGATGCAGTTCGCTGAAAGTAGACAGGCACGTCCTGGATGTTAGAAATTCACTTTTTCTCAACGTGACAAGGCTGCCTTCGATCTACAATTGTATTTGAATGGGCAATGAGCGGAAAGATCTCTCATCATTAAGCCCGCTTCCACTTTAGCAAAATAACGAGAGCCTCATTTGCACACAAATGCACATAAAACTGGGATTCCCTGCAACTCTTTAATAAAAAGGGATGGCTGCCTAATTTCAACGGGAGGTGAGAAGGCAGGGGGAGATAGGGATAGAGACGTGAGGTTTCAAAGGCATCTTCTCCCTTCCCCCAAAAGGTCCATGTGATCGAGTTGACTTTTTTTTTTTACTTTAAATCTTAAATAAGATGTGAGTTGTA